TTTTCTTGAGTATCCTCTCCCTTTGTTTGAAAACCTAATAAATACGGGCCACTCAGAGCAGTCTTTTGCTAACTCAGGGAATACTGAAGCTGTAAGAGAGTTAGTACCTCCCGGTGCCCTAAAATCATAATATTGTCTGCATTTTATTTAAGCCTTAGACGTCCACTAGTTCGGGAGACTGCAGGCCTGATCATCCTGCAATAACTTAGGGTTATTGAACCTGGTTTTTGATATTCTGACCTGTGTCCCGTTGCAGGAGACACTCTTACTACACATTCTACTCAGCAGGATGACCCGAGCAAGGAGAGGGTAAGCCACTGGAGCCTTGTGAGAGACAGTGTAGGATGGACAGCAGCATTCACAGGACCACACAAGCTCTGGGTGGGGACGCCTCAGTCCTTTAGGTCCCTTGGGTGAATTCATGCTCCAAGGACCTGGGATGATTCATGCCACCTCCCTACCACCTCACTTATGAGGCTGTAACACAGATGGTGGCTTGAGTTGGAGGACGTGCCCTTCATCCCCAGCCTGGACCTATGCTCAGGAGCCTGCCCTCACTCTCTGATAGCAGCCTCACTTGGTGCGGGGCAAAAAGCACCTACAATGTGAGGACACAGGCAGAGGCTACATTGCACCTGTCTCTACTCACTTGGGGAGGTGTGCTCCATGGTAACTCAGTCTTCATGTGAATTACTGAGGCTCCATTGCAGAAGAGCTTTCTACCTGGGTGAGCACAGTGCCAGTCTTCTTGGTGTTACCTGTGGGAAGGATCCATAGGTCTCCCCAGCTCATGTACATGAACTGAGGAGGATGTGGGTGACCCCAGCAGGTCCTGGTTCCTGTGATCAGCGCTGGGCCTTTTGTAATGCAGCTTCCAGCCCAGGAGGGACTATGTATCCCAGACACCCTGGCTGGGTCCGTACACTTCCATCCACTACCCAGCCTTCCTTACGATGACCCAGTCCTGCTGATGCCACAGGAGATGTGAGTCATGAGCTACAGTTGAAGAAAGTCACATGAGTCTGTGGGTCCACTCGGTGACCCCTGAAACCTTATCTGTATCATACAGACAGCAGGGAATACAAATGTGGAGGCAGCAGTATTGCCCATCAATCCTAATGCTATTTTATCAGGCTCACCTGGTTGGGATGACAGCTGCCCAGTGAGCTGGATTATGTGCACGATGGACACACAACTTCAGCAGGGTAACTTTTCACTTGGAAGGACACAGTGGTGCCTTGATGGCCTCCAGCCTCTAGTCTCTTCCTCTTCTGACCTCAGAGCCTGGACAGCTGTGGACACAGACTCACACCTGAGTCTACTCTAGTGAAATGCCAATTCCCTGCAGGAATGTGTGTGTCCCCTTAGATGTGTAATTCTCTCACAACCCATGGACACACCTGGATGTTCCCAAAACACCAGGGAGGGAAAACCCTTGCAAAGGATGCAAAAGGGAGAGGGAGAAATGAGCTTGAAGCCTGGGGTCCTGAACAGCGTGGAGCACAGGGTAGAGGTGAACGACGAACGATGCAGTCCTGTTCTCCTCAGTCTCCTCTGCTGTCTGTGCTCCCTCCAGTCCTCTTCTCAAATGGAACGGCTTCCTGCACCCCCTTCAGCTCTAGCCGTCTCTCTTCAATCTGGTGTGCATGCACAGAGAGGATTCTGTGTTCTCATGGGGAAGTCTCTCCAATTTCCTGAATCCTGGATGTTGACAAGCGATGTCCAGAGGTTTGGTTCATTTTTGCCTAAACTCTACTCCCTCTGGGGAAGAGTGTATTCCCTTTCCTTTATGAACTACTGTGCTTCCTTCATGTCACACTGGATGGCTGTGTGATTGGCCTGTAGTGAGGAGAACTCTTTTCCTTCAGGTAAGATAAAGTTGGAAAGTTCCTTCCCTGGGCAGAGAGTGTCTGCCTAGAGAAGGCTATGTGTGCATTTCTGGGTAATGAGTCTCTCCTTTCCTCTGTAAAGGACTTGAGGGACCTCTATGGCTCCAAGCTTGAGATCTTGGAGGGTACTGGAGGGAATGTGTGAGGTGTATGTTCCCCCAGGAGTCGCCCCTCCCTCTGGTCCTTTCCTGACTCCGGTCACCATCATCTCCCCCGCAGTATTTCCTCCTCTGTGTGTCTCCAGCTCCTTTGACAGGGAAGTAGGGCTTGTTTGTGATTTGGACCTTCCTTTCTGCACAGTTTTCAGAGTGATTGTTGTTCCTGTAACCTGAGTTCATAAGATGAGCTTAGAAGAAATATTTTTCTCTTTATTGTTACATGTATTTAAAAGTACATCTTAAACCTGATTTTGCTACTAAACAATGCGTATGAGTATACACATATCATATGATACCCAGTCAATGTGCATACATTCAAGTTTAAGAAAAAGTAAAATAAATTTAAACAAAAGTGAAGAAAATAATTGGAATGGATTGAGAAGAATTGGAATTATTTCTTCTTTAATGATTAGGTAAAAAAATTATTAGGGGAAATTCAGCATTGATTTCATCAACTTCTATTCTTTGGAATAAAGTAAAAAAATGAAAGCATGATTTCCTACACAAGAATGAATGTAAACTTTTCATGTGTCATCTTGTGTATGTAGAAGTCACATCTGAGGCTCTTCTGATTCATTTTCAGTATTAATCAAAGCTCTGTTTATATTACTTTGGGTTCATGATTGGCAGATTAGGTGTTCAGGAATTTATCTATTTTTATAGGCTTATATTTAGCCACAGCTGTAGAAAACAAACTCAAACTGCTGGATCTCACAGTATTTTTATCTACAGTTTCATGAGGAAACTGCCTACAGTTTTTCATAAAAGAAAGACAGTTTTGTCTGCAATAATTTCTATTCCTTCCCACAATGCATTAGGGTTCCATTTCTTCAACCTACTTTAAAACATTTGCCATTATTTGTCTTCTTAAGTCATTGCAACAGATGTCACAGCATTATTTGTGGAAATGAAGATCTCTTGTCCACTAAATACTGTTTTACACTGTGTAAAAAATACATTGCACATGTGTGTATGGATTTGTTTGGAGTTATGGTAGTTCAGTGAAAGTGTTTTGTACAGGGTATGCGAATTAGTTATCCTCTGTTTACTCTGAGTCAGGATCAGTTTCTTAGCAAAGAGGGTGGATTTGATATATTGATACCAAAATTTACAAAGATGAAGTTCTATGGTGGATGCAACTTCAGCTCCTTCCCATAATTCTTGGCTGCTTATTCTAATGTCCTGCTCCTTGTGCCTTGGATACCACTGGTCTCCTAGGTCCTTTCGTAAGAGATCAGGAAACAATGGTACAACAGTGTGCATTGGGGACTCCATAGGAGACAGGGAAGGAGGGGATTCTGTGACAGTCAGAGGAGCACAATCTGTTCTGACATCACATCCCATATTAAGAAAGCAATTTTACTTTTGCATTAGTAATATTTTTCCATTTTCCATAAATGTGGAAATAATGCAACATGTGTAATTTAAAATATATTTAAATGTAGAGGAAGGGTGAGTGTTGTGCGCAATAATGAGTGAGACAATTCTTCATGTGTCACCCTGAGCATGAGGAAATCACATCTGAGCCTCTTCTGAGCTCCAGGAAAAGTACCTGAGGTGTAGGATTAAAACCAAGGGTTTGTCTTTCATTGTAAGGAAGCAGATAAAAGCCGAGGGGAGAATAAACACTAAGGCAAAATAAATTATTAAAAAGAAATTAGATGAGCTCTGAGTTTGACTTATGCAGTTATACTTGGGAGGGAGTGTAAGACTTAAGTCTTGAAAATACTATCCATTCCCGGTCCTGGGCTATCCCTCTCATGCCTCCATTCTAAATACCAAAACTGGTGATGAAAAGGAAATATCATAAGATGTCTTTTTCATTGGAAAAAACTTCAACATTTGGCTGCGTGTTCTCAGGTTCCAAATCCTGGAGACCAGGGAAGAGTCACTCTGCCTTCTAAAAAGACTTCTGAACATGTGTGCAGAGTAGAATGTATCATCCTACGAACTCAAATTTCTAATTCAGGAACATGAAAGATAAGTATTGACTCATGAATGCAGAGTCTGCTGGCGATAATGTCACGTGGACCAGAAGCTTCACATCCTGACAGGAAATGAGACTGGTCCACACTCTGCCCCTGTCCTGCATTGACACTGAACTCAATGTGTCCTGTGCGCCCCTTGCTGGCTTTGAGCATCACAACAGAGAGATTTGTGTTGGCTCACGCTGAGGTTGTCACACTGCGTCTCTGGTACAGTAATATACAGCTGTGTCCTCGGTTTTCAATTTGGTCATTTGCAGATACACTGTGATTTTGGAGTCATCCCTGGAGATGGTGAATCTGCCTTTCACTGATGCAGCGTTTTCTGTTGTGTGACTATTAGCCTTGTTTCTAATAAAACCAACCCACTCCAGCCCCGTCCCTGGAGCCTGGCGGAACCAGTCCATGCAGTAGTCACTGAAGGTGAATCCAGAGGATACACAGGAGAGTCTCAGAGATGTCTCAGGCTGCACCAAGCCTCCCCCGGACTCCACCAGCTGCACCTCAGCCTGGACACCTGCAAACACAGAGACATTCTGCTCAGGAAACTGTCATTCATGTCCACCATTTTTCCCACTCCTATCCATGCACACACTCAGTATCTCCGGTTCTTCAGTAACTACCGTTTAAAGCAGCAACAAGAAAAACCCAGCTCAGCACAAGCTCCATGGTGGGCTGTCTGTGCTCAATCCTGATCACTGAGAGGAAACTCCTGGGCTTCTGGGGCTGGGCTCCTCTCCAGAGCTGCAGGGTCAGGGCTGGGACGGTTTACACAGGGAGAGAGGGGCCCTATTTGCATGTCCTCCTACTATTTACAGAGGTGTCAACAGGAAGCAACAAAGTTTCAGCACCACAGATGTGAATTTAGATGTGAATTTGCTGGTCTATGCTATAAAAAATAATGACATGTACGATAAGAATTTTATGTGACTATGTTATGTTATTGACTTATAATTCATAATCTTAACTTACTTTTATGCATTCAAGCAATAGATGATCCAAGTGTCAGTGTTTGCTCCATTGTACAAATGTATTATTCCTCAAAAGCACAAGTGAGTGATTCAAGGTGATCAAGCGTTTATATCTGGTGTGTGTAAGTCCGGTGGCCCCAGGTCCAGGACAGAGTCAGAGAGGTGCAGTGAGATTCACAGAGCCCCTTTCCTGTATTAAAAATATGTTCCTATTTTTCTAACTTCAGTGTTACCTGTGCTTCAGGGATGCATCACCCTGTGCACATGAGGCTCACAGTGAAGACGGTCGTAGGCCTCCTGTGAGGCAGTCTTGATCAGCTCGGGTCAAGCAGGTTTGCTCAGATTTATCAAACACAAATGCTGCTATAATTTGTGTCCAGTGTACATAAATTTGGTAAGAAGTGTAATATAATATCTTTACCTAATCTCTAGGTCTGTCATCCATCTACTGATCTATGTGTCTATTATTTATTTATCTACCTATGTATCTGTATCATCTTTTTTCTTAATTATCAAGCACTCACTCTACAATACCAGAACTATCTAATTTATGCTGTGCCAATTCTTTTTTTTTTTTTTTTGCGGTATAGGGGATGGAACTCAGGACCTTGCACTTGCCAGGCAAGCGCTTATGCCACTGAGCTATATCCCCAGCCCTGTGCTGTGCCAATTCAAATACATTTTTATTTCTCTACTACTTTCTGTTGAGGTTATCAAAGTGGATCTTATGAAACATTTTATGAAATATTTCTTCTTTCTTGTAATATTTATCATAATTCAAAACAATATCCCTAGGCAATGTGCCTTCATGTAATGTTTCCCTTCACTGATACTTCTTTAGATTATTGTATATTCAAGGACTGTAATGTAGTTGGACTTGTTCATGTAGAACTATGACATTATCTTTGGTATATGGTACATATTTCATTTAAATTGCTGTTATTACTTCTACTGCTGAATTTCCAATAGTTCCTATATTACGATATTCATGGAGAGCATGAGGGTAGGTCCTCATCTGCAGATGTCAGCATGTCTACAAGAAGACCAGGCACTTCCTTGAGGGGCAACTTTGCAGAACTTGCCCATCCCGCAGTGGTACAGATGGGGATGCTGTCTGTGAGTTGCAGAGGACAGGCTAGGCTTGATCCTGGTGTTCAGCTACATAGTCACTGTCCTAGGTCATCAGTTCTCTGGTGTATATGTTATAAGATGTGAACTCCAGAGGATAAAATTTTGCTATTTTATGGAGAGAATCTTCATCATTAATAGCAAGAAAACTGCACAATAATATGTATTTTTAGAAGAAACAAACATACAATAGATAGATAGAAACATTTACCTACCTGAACAATGCCTGGGAGAAACACATCCTCTATCTCACTTCACAGTTCTGGGGAGGTTTTTTCTGCATGCTCCTATCATTGAATCCCAGGACTGTGATTGAGACAGCATAAGTAAGGGAAGGTGGGGGTTGGAACACAGTGCCATCCCACCTCACTGAGTGATTTTGCTGATGAAACTGACTTCCACAGAGCTACATTTGGAAAACACTAGAGATCGGTGATTTTGCACATGGCCTGCCTGGCAAACATAAGTCCTGAGTTCAATTCCCGGTTCCAATAAATAAAAAAATAAATAAAAGGAGATTAGTAATTGTTATAGAAAGCTGTAAACTTTTTGGTGAAAAGCCAAGTCTTTTCATGATGTCACCATCATCATATTCTCTCGCACACACCCAGACAACAGAAAACCCTTTAAGTGCTGTCATGTCAGAAGATCGCTTGTGCACTCTTGTACAAGCATATTTGTTCCTGTTTCTCTCCTGCAAGAATAGGGAAAAGTGGAGAAAATGAACTCATGTGCCATGAGTTAGTTCCTAGGACAGCAGATAGACATGGAAAGAGTGAGCAGGTCCTGGGTCTCTATCTCACTCTCTTGTCATGGAGCCCCTTCTGTACCTGGCCAGGCCCACTTGCATTTCTCCACCATCCTGTACTGCAGCCATGGGAGCCCTCACCAGAGGCTCAATGGTTCTGGAACTGTGATGTTCTCATGTTTAATCTCTGAGACTTGGAATTAAATAAACATTTTTCTTTCTTAATTTATCCAGCCTCTTGTATTTTGCTAGAGCAACATACATTTTGTGAAAATGTAAAAATAAGGCTTCTTGTGACTCATAGATAAGCAGTTTCAACAGGTTTGAGATTGCCTGGAAAGGAGGGAGCGCCAGAAGGGCCAGAGCATTATCTTCTGTCCTTGGAAGAAA